CACCATGGTTCCGAGGGCTGAAGTAACTATTTTGCTGTGTATAATCCGCACCCACGTTTTTGGCCCAAACTTTCAGGAAAAAGATCTTTCATTTTAATTTAATTCAATTTTTTATTTATTTATAGTTAGAAACAAAACCAATTGTCGTATTCCAGGGGATTATTTTGCACATGGATATCATTATTGCTTTCTAGAGTTACATTTTTAACACATAAGCATAAATAAAAGAACTAAAAACATTTATATAGCTATGGAATTATACCCATGTATAATGCACATCCTTATTTTCCCTCAAAAATCTGGGTGAAAAAATGCACATTATACATGGTAAAATATGGTGTCATGATTGGCCAGCCTGGGACATACACCCATCCCAGGAATAGAGGTGCGGTTAGCTCAACTGGGACCATATGAAATGAAAAGTAGTATGTGCTTGCAAGAGAAGGGGGAAGAAGTGCAGCTATCTACTGCAGTGTGTCAGCATGAAAGAGCGTGAACTGAGTGCCCCAAGTAACCAGTGATGATCCAGCTTGAAATTGGTCCTGACACAGCCTCAGGGCACCAGGCCAACCCTGGCAGCGCTGATGCACGCCCTGCCCTGGCCTTTTCCCTCTGTGCAGAGTTTGCACCTCATCTGCTTGATTTACACCCAATCGGAGTCAGAATGCACTTGCCCACTCATTCCTTCTTCACACATTGCTCCACCTGCCTGGGTAGGACCAGAGGGAGGATTCGCTGGGAGGGGGCACCAGGCCAAAGCTCCTCTGTCCTAGGCGGATGCTGCTTCACTCTGCCCAGCCTCAGCAGTCTACCTCCTTGTCTTGATAGGAAGGCTCTCTTCTCTCTTGTGCCTTCACCTACACTACCCTTGTCCTTGAATAGCCTTCCTGACATCCACCAGGCTCACATTTACTTGCCTTTCTAGGCTCAGCCCTGTCTTGTCGTCATCTCCTTCAAGGTTTTCCTATAACCCTAAGTTGATCTAATAAGACCTTTGTATCCCTACTTTTCCAAAATGCAGGATGTGCAGACATATTGTTTTATGATTATTTGTTTACCTGTGTCTACTATTAGCCCCTGAAGGGAAGGACCAAGGCTAATTTACCTTTAGGGTCCCAGCCAGCCCTTTGCAGAGGACCTGGCACTAAGTAGGCAGGTACGTTTGGGACTGGGCAGAAGCTTCATGCTCATACTTAGAAAAGTACTTCTGGGTGAATACCTGCTGTTTGTCTTCTTTACCTCTGGGCTGCTTTCCTCTGGATGTGTGCCCACCTGCCCTTCATATTTACCATCCTTTCTCCTCAGACTCCTGCTTTCCCATGGGACTCATCTAGGTGGTCGGCAGCGGGAATGGCAGCGAGACATAAGCTTGACAAAGCATTTAGAAAGTGCTCACTTTGCTTGCTTGGGCATGTACCAAGGTCTTACTGTGCAGGGCCGTTTATGGTGGGGCTGCCACAGCAAGATCCCAAACAAGACCAGGTAGATTCTAGAAACCTGTGTCCCCCTGCTTTGTCCACCCCACCACTTCCCTGAGCAGGGCCTCGGGAGACGATCTGCAGGGTTTGGCTTTCACCCCCCTGGATGGCAGTCTCACTCCCCGGGGGCCAGGACCTATGGCTGAACCTACCAGGCTAATGCGCTGTGGCCCCTGGTCTCAGGACCCACCACTGGGCTCTGCCTTCCTTTCATTTCTTGGGCTGTGTGGGGTCCTCACTTTTGGGGAACAGTGGCTAGAGGGTTGGCCGCCCAATCAAGCAGGCACAGATGGAGAGCTGAAGCTGTGTGTTGCCCTAATACAGCAAATCCCCATCTGGCAGCACTTTTTCAGTTGGATTGGTGGGAACTAGGATGAAGACCTTACTCTGAGTCTGCTGGTGCCTATGCACAACTATTCCTCACCCTCTAATAAGACGCAGTAAGTCCTTCTGCTGCTCTCTGGGTAGAGACTGATGTCCAGGGCCTGAGGAAATGGTTTAGGTCGATGAGCCAGAGTTGGGGATATCCCTTTCTACACAGCACCTCAGCCATACCACTGGGCATTAAATGAGCTGGAATATCCTCTCGGAGCGTCCTGGGTTGCCCTTCCTAACTGGTCGGAATCTGTAGGTCTATGGGCCGGTCAGCCTCTTGGGTCCTGGGGTCCCAGCCTTGCTGTGAAAAGCACAGGGTTTAGGCCCACCCTCAGCACGTGCCTTCCTAGAGCCCTGAGTCCCCAAATCACTATTATGCTCTAGGATCTAAGGGCAAAAGGCAGGTCCCAGTGCCGCTTCCGTCTCCTCCTCCTGTTCCTTCTCACGCACTCACACACACCCTCCTGAAACCTGATCCTGAGGCTGCCTGGCATGCCGGGGCTCTCCAGGGCTGGCGGGCTGGGGCCTGTCTGCTGGGGCCTGCCCCACCCTGCCCTGCCATCCCCTGGGCCAGGGCAAGCAGGTCAGGCGTCCTGCACCCCCACTAGTGTGACTATTCATTCTGTGCCTCAGGGGCCACCTCTGCCCTGGCCAGGCCCCCAGACTTGACTCTAGTCTGGTCAGAAGCCCCTGGAATCTATTCCAGGTGCAGCAAGAAGCTCTGCCCAGGGCACCTGCAGATTAACACAAACACACACACACTACGTCTACCATTACCCCACCCCATTTCCTGTTGTTTATAGCCCCTGGCTCAGCTTCCAGTGCTCTGCAGGCACCGAGCCACCTCCTGGGGCTGAACAAAATGTAGTGGAAACACTAGAGGAAGAGTACAAGTCTACCTGGCACAGTCAGGCAAGACTGTCCAGAGGAAGTAGTAGCATTTGGACTTAAGGGATTTTCCAGGCAAATAGAGAGGGGAAGGGGGTTGTGTATCCTTGTACATTCGATTTTGCGGGGCGGGGGGGGGGGGGTGGCGATTTGTGTCAGATTAACCAGCAGTTTATGGCTATTTGAACCATTATGAATTAGGAGATAGTTGTGTCCATTTGCATAGCAATGTTTTTATGATATTATAAAGTGAAAAAAAAAGTCTACAGAGCTGTCTAAAAAATAATATAGGAAAAGGAAAGTCAGTCCAGATATATACCAAAAGGTTAATTGTCTTCCATGTTGAAGGATTATGGGGTGTTTTTTTTTTTTATTGGTTTTGTGCACCTATTTGTGTTTTTCTCCAAAGTTAACATATAAATGACATCAAAAATAAGGCTGTTTTTAAAATAAATGTTAACATAGTGAACTTTCTAATCAGCTGAAAAAAGCGGGGAAGGGAGAGGAAAAGGAAAAAATATGTTGAGGCTGTTTGGCGAGATCAGAGGAGATTTCATTAGCACATGACATCTAGTACATATTGGAAACAGATTAAATCCTGTCCAAGCCTGACTGAGAAACTTTGTAGAAGTTTTATAAGCTCAGTCCCAACACAGGAGAGATTCTTGCTGCAGGCTTTCCTGGGGACCTTGTTTCCTTTGCTGTTACATGTGGACTATGGCCAGGAGCCTCAGTGCCTCTAGTGTAGCATCAAATATATTAATTCACTTAGGTTATATATACTAGGTATGAGGAACACGCATGGCCCTGATACACAGAAGGGAAATATGCTACCTCAGAAGACCAAAGGAAAGCTGCTCTGCAGAAATGGCCTCTCCATGCTATTGAGTGTGACAGCTTCTTCCTAGCAGCGAGTAATGGGGAGGGAGCAGGATTGAAAGTTTTCTGCCTCTTTCAAGTTCACATCAAAATCTCTTGTAATATTAGACCTCCAAACGATTACTGATACAATTTCTCCCAGGCGTGGAGATTATAATGGTATTAGTGATGACGGGAATGAGAAATGTAGGCTTGAGTTAGAGTACACTGGGGGGTAAGCTCCAGATTCTGGGCTTAGAAGGCCTCTGCTCTAGTCGTCAGTTTTTCAGTGGCTGATTCAGCTGAATAAGAAATAAAGAGTCAGAGCCACCCAAGGCCTCGGCCTCCACACATTCCTTCTTGGCCAGGAAGGTCCCATGGAGGCCCCACAGCAACACTCAGCACACAGTCGCTGACTGGGTACTGCCCACCTCCTGGGGTTCTGGGTCCCACATGAAGTCCTGCTGTCCAGGCATCTCTGAAGAGCTTGGTTCCACCTGTCCCTTTTCACTGCTTCCTCACTCCCTTCCGCGTTGTACGAGACTTTGTCCTGTCCTCCCCAGGCCTGCATCCTGCCCCTGGCCACTCTTCTGCTTTCCCAAGAAAAGGGAAACTCGCCTGCTCCTTTCTCCTCAAAGTCAGCGTCACTTCACCCTTCCTCCTCTCCTCTTTCCCTTCCCATCTCTCCTCCAGGCCAAAATTATCCCTTCTCCTTAAACTCCGTACCAGCCCCTCACCTCCCGGAGAGCTTTGCGTTCCCTCTGTCCTGCTGTCTGCCAGCAGATGTGCTCAGGCTCCTGCCTGTCTGAAGCCTCCGTCAGCCCTGCCTCCCAGCCTCTGGATACTGCAGTTTTTCTCTCCTCTTCCAAACCTGTCTCCTATGGCTGTTCACCTGCTTTGCCTTCTCATCATGAATTCTCTGTCCTCCTCACCCTGGGTGGTCCACTCTCTCGGGATTCTCTCCAGAATTCTGTGTGTCTGCACTGGCTGTTTTTGGGTTATTTTTCTGCTCCACTGGACAGTGTCTCATCTCTGTGTTCCCCCATTGCAGGAAGAGTGGAGGCAGCAGTGACTGTTTGATGGATGCATGCCTGGGTAACCTGCCAGAGAGCTCCCAGCTCACAAAGACTGATCCCTGATGTGTGGGTCCTGTCTCTCCACTCATCTATCTGGCCACATAAGGACTAGCTGGTCCCGCTCCTTTAAACTCAGGCTTTGCTGAACGAGGCCTATCAGACCCCACAAGCAGCTACCCAGTGAACAGGCTGGGGTAGGAAGGCTATGCTGGACTGTGGAAGGTGGCTTCCAGCACAGCCATAGCCAAGACAGGTGTACAGAAGAGCCAGCCAGTGCTCCAGCCTATTGCATGTGGGGACCCTCAATAGCCCTGTTGTATTCCAGGTTCTCCAAACCAGCACCCATGTTCCTGGATGACTCTTTCCGCAAGTGGGCTAGGATCCGCGAATTTGTGCCGCCTTTTGGGATCAAAGGTCAAGGTATGTTGGGAACCCTGACCCACTCTACATTAACTTCTTATCTTCCAGACTATCTCCCTACACTTCAGGGCAGGGCTGTATCCTCAGAAGTGCCATGCTGGGGACCCACCCCTTCCCCCACTCCCAACAATGCTTTACATCCTCCTCCTCTTTTCCTTCCTGTCTTTTTTTCTCATTTCTTTAGTGGAATATTTACTCAGAGCCCACCATTTTGTCAGGACTAAGGTATACAACTGTGGAGTAAATGGTTATTGTCCCTGTCCTCAGAAAGCTTCGGGCTAGTGGAGATACAGACCTTTGGAGTGAACGACAGCGAGGGATCTCATATGGAAAGAACATGCTGCTGTGAGATCATAGGAGAAGGGGTGCCAGAGACACTGGTGCTAGAGGACTAAGTATGAGGTGGAAAATCCCAGAGGAAATGGAGGCCATCCCCCACGAATGCCCCTGGCTCCCGCATCATCCCCTCCTGATGTTTTTCACCTGACCGCAGTCTCCGCTCCAGGCCTTCCCTCTCTCGTCCAAAGCCAATCTTTCGCACTATGTTCTCAGAACTATCTGTTTCCATTGCCTGAGGGGCCTCACTCCTGTAGTCCCACCCCTGATAGTTTAACAAGCCCTGTTTCTTTGTCAGGTTCCTGTCTGTGCCATGGCATGGTAGAGTATGAGCTTTAGGGTCAGACACAGAAGGATTAGATCCCAGCACTACCTTTTTACTAGTTGTGACCTTGGACAAGTTTCTTAACCTGTCTGTGCTTTAGTTTCTTCATCAGTTAAATGGAGAGATTAATGCCATTGTATTCGATCGTAAGCAGAATTAAATAACATAAAGGAGACCCAAGAATAACTGAACCCTCTACTCAGCCACTCCACTCCTCCCTGAAAAGAAGACAGTGGCCAGCAAAAAGACAAAAGTTTTGACCTCACACCTCCAAGGACAAATCTAATAGATTGGGGTGAACCATATGAAGAACTCCTTTTTTTCTGAGCGCAGGTAGCCAAGCAGTCTACTCTTTTTCTCCTAAATTCTCACTCAACACTGTGACCCTACTAAGGCCAGGGAAGGCCAACACAGAGCCCATCAGCCAGCAAGAAGAGAACACCTGAAAGTTGAGGCTCTTTCTGCTAAGGTTCCCCACCTAGAAAGCAAAACCCAGTCCATATCCTTGACCTTGGCCAAACAGTGGCACTATGCTTTTCCTCAGAGGTGCCTGGGAGGTGGGGGGAAAGGAGGATATCAATGGCCTTCCCTGCAGCCTACCATAAAGGATATCTGAAGGAACTTATTGTAGAACACTCCTCAAAGATTTGTTTCCTTACCCCGTTCTCATTCAGCTTCTGGAAGGATTAGCTGTCTGCTGTCTCTCCTTTCTCACCATTTACTCCTGAAGAATGCTTTCTCCCCAACAATTCTAGGGAGATTGCAGTGTCCCCCGTGAGGTGCAAAGGATACTTTCCAGTCCTTAACTCGGCCTCTCAGCTGCACCTGATGGTGTTATCCATCCCATCTTTTAAAAAATTATGAGGTTATTTTTAATTTTGGTGGCATCCTTTCTTTGCATGAAATATTTTAAGCATATAAAAAAAGCATAAAAACTAATTTAATGAGCATCCATGCACTCTCTACTCAGCTTAAGAAATAAAACATGAGTTACTATTAAAACTCTGAGTGGCCCTTCCCCCTTCCCACTCCTTCCCCCTCCTTCCGCCTCCTTCCCCCTCCTTCCCCAGGAGACCACTATCTTGGTTTTAGTGTTACCATTCAAATACCTGTTTATATGTTTCTACGATATATGATATTTATTAAATATATGGCATATTTTGCATATTTTTAAACTTTACAAACAGTAATATGTGTGTTTTTCAAATTGATTTTTTGTTTATGCTTTTCAGATTTATCTGTACTGATACACATAGCTCTAGGTCATCATTTTTTTTTTTTCTGTTGCTGTGTCGTATTCTACGCAGCACATTCAATTTGTTTTCTTTTGTGGACATTTACATTGCCTCCAGTGTTTTGCTATTACAAAGAGCTGCACAATAAACATTCTTGTACAAGTCTCCTTCAACAAATGTGTGAGAGTTTGATGCTGTCCGCCTGGGAGTCGGGTTGCAAGATCTCAGTCTATGCACGTCTGTATCTTTACTTGATGTTATTAAGATGCTATCCACTGTGGTTGTACCTATTTACTTACTTTATTTGTAAATCTTTCTATACACTTTGTGTTTATCTTTCAAACAACTGCACAGAGTAGTACTTACCATTTTCATTCGAAAGATGAGAAAACTTAAAGCACAAAGAAAGTAAGTAATTGATCCAGGGTCTGAAGTAACAAAGCCAGGATTTAACTCCAAAACCAGTAGTAGTATACATTATATTATAATCCTCTCATTATACCAGAATTTGAAAGCAAAGCAGTTATCATTGCAGAAGCCAGAGAGAGGCCTAGAAGAATGAAGCCCGACCCATGGGCACAGGATCTGAAAACACGGAAGTCAGGGGGCCTTTGCTCAGGGCAGCCTGAGGGGAGGGCAGGTGGGCAGGTGCCAGGCTGCAGGGCTTGGAGAAGTAAGGCGGGAGACTCAGCCTGGTGAAAGCAGGATTAGAGATGGGCAGTGTTCAAGGGAGGAAGTGAGGGGAAGACAGTGTCAGGAGGGAGGCAGAGCGGTCTGACTCGGGGAGGTGGTTGGGACCACTCTGTTCTTCATCATTGGTTGTTTCCTCATTGGTATCTGGTGCCTGCTCAGTGGAGGCACAGAGACATGTATACTCTGTCTCTGTGTAAGTGCTACCATTCTGGGCATGTCCCAGGCCTGATTGCAGAGCCCCCAAAGCCAAATGAGATGGCTAAGGAATGGCTGGGGAAGAAACTGCATACTGGTGCTGGGGATGGCTCCAGGCAGAGCCGAGTGTACCTGCCTGTTCTCCTATTCCTGTCCCCTTTTTCAGGGAGAAAGTTAAGCAGCAGCCTGGCCAGCCTTATGCCCAGAGCTCCCTCTCCCCACCCCGACCCTAGCCCCAGGGACATATGCCCTCACATTGGCTCATTGGAAAACATTTCATGGGAACTTAAATGACCCCCTAACAGTAACCTCCCTCCTCTATCCACAGACAATCTGATCAAAGCCATCTTGTCAGTCACCAAAGAGTACCGCCTGACCCCTGCCTTGGACAGGTGAGCCCCTTGCCGCCCAGCCTCCTGCCACTCAGCTGCCTGGCATGTGCAGAGGTGTTGAGGCCCAGCTGGCCTTCCGTGGACATGAGAAGGTCCTCCACCATGTCTGCATGTGCACACATAGTACACACGCTGGGGTGGGTGAGTAGAGAAGTGGGGCCCCCTAACTGGGCTTGCACCCATGAGCTATAAGCACTTGGCAAGACACCTCAGCCCTTGGATGGCAGAGGTCTGAGGGCAAGAACTGAAGACACTGGCCTGGGACACGCCCACCATTGGGACTGAGGAGCTCGGTGGCGGGGCAGCTGCAGGGGCCATGGCTTACATCTAGAGGCAGTGATACCTCTGAAGCCAACAGACCCTGGATGGAAGAGACCCCAGGGTCAGGGGCAGGAGGGCAAAATGTCTAGGCATCCCTGGTGGCTGCGGGGAGCATGGGGGCCTCTGAGTAGGAGCCTAGACCAGAGCCCTGGAGCCCCCGGTCCCAGTTTTCTGTTCTTGCTTTCCTGGCATAGCCCTCAAGCTCAGCCCTCTTTTCCCTCTCCCCTGAAAGCTGCCTAAATCCCACTAACTCTTGGGGAGTCTTTTACCCAGAGTGCCATCTTACCAGAGCCTCCTTCATCACCTCCATGGAGTGAGTGTGAGCCCTTTCCACACCATGTTTTCCTGGAGAAGTGTCAGGGAGTCGGGATGTCTGAGAGTTCCACGTGACGCAGCTCCCCACAGTATGGTTCCTGCCTCTTCTCAGAAATGCTGCCAGAAGCCCATTGGGTCTTCTTCCTCTATCCCAGCCTGTGCCTGGTCAAGGGCGTGGGGTCAAGGGCCAAAGGGGTAGGGGATGAAGCCTACCTGGTAGACAGCTCTTCAGAGGTCTCTGCCTCTCTCCCCTCAGCCTCAGCTGCCGCCGCTGCATCATCGTAGGCAACGGAGGTGTCCTTGCCAACAAGTCACTGGGATCACGAATTGATGACTATGACATTGTGGTGAGGTGAGCTCCCCAAAGCAGCACGTTGGGCATCTGCATGTCCTGGCCCAAACCCTGGCCCTTGAGCCCATTGAGAACTTTCTGGCCATCTGGCCAGTTGGGCTGGAGGTCAGCAGAGGCCTCAAGAAGAACCCTGGGTTGGAAGATTTTAGAATGGAAAGCTAGATGGCTCCAGGCGACCTAGGGTATTCAGGGATCAGAGTGTTTCCCCAAACATAGACCCACAGACCACATGCAGTGAGCTCAAGGCAGGCTCTGACTGGGCCTGCTCTCTGTAGACTGAACTCAGCACCAGTGAAAGGCTTTGAGAAGGACGTGGGCAGCAAAACTACACTGCGTATCACCTACCCAGAGGGCGCCATGCAGCGGCCTGAGCAATACGAACGCGATTCTCTCTTTGTCCTCGCTGGCTTCAAATGGCAGGACTTCAAGTGGTTGAAGTACATCGTCTACAAGGAAAGAGTGGTGAGCTCCCTGCGCACTGTTCCTTCCCATCTTGCCCTGGCCTTGCCCAACTTCCAGGTCAGCCCCTTCCTCTGAACCCAGCACAAAACAAAGGGAACCTTTCAAAAGAAGCATTATTGACCCAAAGTTGAAAGACACCCAAACTCAGCTGAGGTACAGAGAGGCCAGATCTCACCGACAGTGACTGGCCCAGGTTTCTGGAGCTGATAAGCCTCATATCTGCTACCTGTCTCCAGGTACCCAGGCTGTAGGTCCTTTCTTGGCCTTCTCTGCCACACCCCAACCCTGACCCCAAGTCCCTCCCCAACAGCCCCTGTGGGTCCTTCTCTGGCATTAGATCCCCTGGTAAGGAAAGCTCTCATGTGGCTGGCCCTACTGTTACTCCTAATTTTTGTACTGTCCTGCCCTGACCTTGTAGTTGCTTCCACAAGCCTTTCTTACCCTCTCCTCTGTGAGTTGTTTCTGACTCTGAAGGTGTGGGTCCACCCTCATTCCCAGCCAAAGGAGGAAGGTCTTATTCGGACCTTGGGGCCATTTTGCAGGGACCATAGACCCCTCAACTTGAGGGTGACACTTCCCAAACTCATATGTAAGTCCTGGTCTTCTCTGTGCTTTGTACTTTTACCACTGATCTGCAGTTGGGTCCCTAACTTGCCATTGAGTCATCCCACTCTGGGAATGATCAGATTCTATACTCACTGTCTAGGTAGGCAAGGGTCGGGGCCTGTTTCTTTAGGGAGCTTATGTGGCCACGAAGGCTCAGGCTGCTCTTTAGTGGACCACCCACTGAGTCTTTTCCTGAGGCCTCTGTGTCTCAGCTCTGGGCCTTTAGGGGCACCTGCCAAGTTGTCCAGGCCCAATGCCCCTCTCCCCTCAACCAGCTGTCACCAGCCACCCCAGGGGAGGGGCACTACAGAGTTCACGCCATTCATCTTCCAGTACCCAAGCCTCCTGCCAGAGGAGAATGGTGATCGATGGCCCTCCGCCTGCAGTAAGAAGCCAGTTTTTTCTGGACGTTTAGAGGAGAATTGAGTGGAAACAGCTTAACCCGCCTATGAAGGTCTCAGTGCAATTTGGTTCAACTCCACAGCCCTTTCCCAAGCCAGGCCAAGTGCAGGCAGTGTCAAGTAGGTAGCAAGCAAGAGAGAAGACAGGAAGTCAGGAATTCAGGTAGGTGGGGCAGTGGGGAAGGGCAGCCCACCCACCTCAGGGCCCGGCTCCGCTGGGCCCAGCCTGGCTCACCGAAGGGGAGGAAAGGGTTCGGCTTCACCCAGCCCCCGCTGCAAGTGGGCCTCTCCACTGCCCACGCAAACCAGGCAGAGAATCAGGGCCGAGGGAGCTCTTCTGTTTTTAGAACACTAGAGCCTGAAACACTAGTGTCCTCAGAGCCCTTCTCTTTGCTTTGAAGGCAGTAGAATTTGGATCACAGGTAGGTACTTTTAAGGGAGAAATGGGAACAAATTGGGTCTGCTTTGGTGAACCCCAGGGATCCTGGAGGCTGCTTTGTCACCCTGGCCTTCCGACCGTCTGCCCACCCGCTCCTTTCCTCTGCCAGTGGACACCTGCCAGAGGAGCTCCCAGAGGGCAGGACCCTGGTCCTGTTTGCTTTTTTTACCCTTCTATTGCCCAACCACCGTAAATGTTCTGAAGTTGACTCCAACGCCAGGTCCTGCTTCCTACTGGGATAGGACAGGCAGCCCAAATCAGGAGACAAGCGGATGGGTGTTACCGAATGTTCCTTCTATGAATATCAAGGCCAATTAATTCAAGGCTCTTACAATACATCCAGGGGAGTAAGGAAAGGAGGAAGAAAATGAAGGAAGCCAACTATAGTCAGAAAACTCACTGTACTCAGGCCTCTCCGGGAGCAGACAGCAGGGCCTCACTTTTCCCAGGAAGACCGAGGAGCTCGCTGCCTTGCCTGGCCTTGGTGGCAGGCCGATCGAAGGTGCTAGAGCAGTTGGGATGAGGAAGTGTGGTCTGTGCTCAGGCACATGCTCAGCTGTGCTGATGTCTGTGTCCTGTCCTGTCCAGGCCATTCCCAGGGATCTAGGACCAGACTTGTGTTGGTGACATTGCTTTCGCGGGGACGGTAGGGTGAGTGGGGAGAAGAGAGAGGACACAGGGAGGAATGCTCTGAAGTTCCATGAGCCTTCTCTAATGTCAAAGATAACTTGGGTCTGTAGAATGAGGTGCCAGAGGAAAGCCAGCGATGCCCATGGCCTCATCAGTTAGCACCGGAGCGGGCCTGTCCAGGCCCTCTGGCTACCCAGGAAGCATCCTCTGAGTACCCTCCTCCACCTCAAGCCCAGGGCTAATGCCTTCAAAGGACCCCTCTGCTCTACCTCACTTCTCTGGGCTCTGAGACCCAGGTGAACATGGGACAGGCTGCTTTTCCAGGCTACTCCCATCTGGTGCCCAGCTGAGGCTCGGCCTGCTCCTGCGGTGATGTTTCCAACTGTGCAGCCAGTGGAGAGCTCTCCGCACTTGTATGGAGCCTCACCTGCAGAATCCTGGCAGGAGGCAGCGCTCTGCTCGGGAGCCAAGGCCTGGATGGGCAGGGCTAGAACAGGTATTAGGCCTCAGTCACGGCTGCTGCCTGCTGCTTGCTGTGTGAGCAGTTGCTCATTGCCTGTAACTTTCTGGTACTCAGGAGTCCTGATGGGATGTGGAAAGAGGTGGGAAAGGAAGACTGAACCCCAAAACAGCCTGTGTTAGGCCTGGCCATACCTACTTCATCCACATGGGACCTCTCCTCGTCACCATTTGTGGTCATTTGGTTCCCTGATTCATGGACAGTAGCAATGATAACTCCAAATAAGTTATCAAAAGGCCTTTTCTCTCCCAGATCTCAGGAGCCCTGACGAAGCCTGCACTCAGGTCAGGTGCACTTGGGGCGGGTCAGGAGAGCACCTGTGCGCTGCTGCCGCCCTGCCGCCGAGTGGGGATGCTGGGTTGGGAGGGAGGGTGGAGCCTGGGACAGGAAGTTATAGGTGTGTGCAAGTCGGTGGTGAGAGGGGGCAACCTCCAGCTCCTGCGAAAGTCTCAGAGGCACACCTGGCTCCATCCTCCCACTCACTCACTCGCCTGCCAGGCATCATTGAGCTGTTGTCTGCACTGCCACTGTGCTGCTCCCACGAAGATGAATACAAAGATGCATTCAACACTGTCTTGGACCCATAGTTGCTCACAGTCTAATGGGAGAAACAGTCCTGAAACTAGTTATAATGCAGTGCGGTAGGTGCTGTGGCCTGAGCAGCCTCCTCCTGACATTTGGTGAAGGCTAGAGGTTCCCATCCATTGTCCTGGGGCCTGGACAGGACAGGACAGGACATGAGAGCAGCAGAGCTTGCCACGCATTCTCCACTCCCCTCCCCAGGCTGCCTAGTAACCCAGGGCTTCTGAGATCCCAGGGAGCTGCCCTCCCAGTCCCCTTGGCTGCCCCCTCCCCCTCCTCTTTTTCCCTCCTCATCCTCACCCCTGATGCTGGAAAGCTCACTGCTTCCAGCAGCCCCGGCCTCACTGCGGGGGGCTTCTGACCGGTGACCAGTTCGGTGAGGCGTGGCGGCCCCTCTGTGCGATACTTCATTCAGCTGCTGCGGGCGTGCTGCCGGCCGGCACGGGGAGCAGAGGGCGGGAGGTGCGGGTTGGCCTCTGGACAGTCTTGACGTAGGCTTGACCTTTCAGCTGTGGTTCAGACCTTGGGGAAGGAGGGAAGGATTTAAGAGGCTGGCCAGGGCCCCACATGCATGCATAGGGGAACTAGGCCTCTAAATTTGGAAGAGACAACATGGTTTAAGAGGGAAAGGCAGTTATAAAGTAACGTAGACTTAGGTTGAAATTTGGAAGCTATCACTCAGCTGGGTTACTGTAGGCAAATTCCCTAGGCTGCTTAGATTTAATCTCACCTGTGAAAAAGGAGTGGTCCTACCCATCTTTCATTATTTGTAATGGCCAAAATTAAACCAGGTGAAATATACAAGTGCCTATCATAGTGCTTGACACTTAGTGAGTGCTCTCTGTTTCAAATATTAATGCTATGTATTCTTTTATTATTATTATTGGTGGTGTTGCTGTTAGAAAAGTCCAGTTGTCCTAGGGAGTGAAGCATTTGTCTGTCTAGGCTGCAGGGCCTGACCTAGGAGGGGACCTAGAAGCAGAGGTCAGAGACCAGGCCTAGAAGACGGAGGGATTCAGGACCTCCTGGGAAGGACAGGACAGGTGTGCTGTCAGTCTGGGAAACCCACGGGGCGAACAGGGCCACTGGGCCCTATATAAGAGGCCTTATTGAACCAGGCCCAAGATGGGGATTGAATGTCCATCTTCACCTAAATGCATATTCTGTCCCAAGCCTGGGAGGGATGCAGAGCCTTGGGATGGGGTCTGCCCAGAAGGAGCTCAGTAGTCACATGCCCCACCTTAGGGGAGACTCAATGCAGGGCCCCTAAAAAGCATGGTGAGGCTGGGACACGCCATGGCCTCCGCTGCTTGATGCGGTTTCTGCTGAGCCAGGACGCATGGTCCCTCCCCACCGCAGTCTCCTTTCCAAACCTCTGAGGTCAGCTCTCCTGGGATCCCATTTCCTTTGCAGCCATCTCCATAAGGTACCGCTTATCCCACGTTCATTCCCCATTACTACACCCCAGCCATTGCCCCTCTGCCTCAGATAGAAAGTGCTCAGCAATCGGGCTCGTGTCATCACCACCCTCTGCTCCTCCTCATCCTCATCTGTGACCTCTTGGTTACTCTGTCTCATAATCCTTACCAGTCATCCCCTCCTCCTCGTCCTCTTCCTGCCTCTACCTCCTCCTCTTCTTCATATCCTCTCCTCTTCTTCCTCCTCCTTCCATCATCCTCATCATAGCTGTTATTTATTAAGCTCTTCAGTTTACTAGCCTTTGAATTCCTTCTTCTAGCTTTCGTGATAACCCTGCTAGATGGGTACTGTTATTATCCCCACTTGGGGGGATTAGGAAGCTGAGGCACAGAGAGGATGAGCT